AGTCATTTTAGTTAGCAGTGTGCTAAGATCATTTAAAATTTCCAAAAGTACAATATCCAAAGAAATTTCAGCCACATTACATGAAAGTAGCATAAAAGCATGCCAACATTCTCTCCATTATGCATGTTTAAAATGCAAACAACTTCACCTTAAATATGTCACTCTCTCAAAAGTACATAACTGGTGATTCAAATCTAACAAACGGTTTCAGGCAATTACTTAACTGGTAAAGAGACTTCAAATCTAACAAACGGTTTCAGGCAATTACCTGACTGATAAAAAGATCATTAAGACTCGATAAAACGATCAGCGTGCTTTTTAAAAGCAATGGTTGCCGGAAGAGGTAACAAGAAATTCAAATCGATATTTTCAGCACGATTTCGGCTTTATTATTATTAGTATTTATTGCTGTTCTGTGCGTCTCTATGCGGACGTCACCGTGTTTAGACCTCACTTGAAAGAAAACCTCAAAGAAAAACTATCCACATGGAAACAATATTATATTTAGAGACCTTGTAAAATCAGTATCAAACGCTCACATAAAACTGGTAGCTTGTGTTTGATTCCAGCGATCACCCTCCAGTGTACAACATGATAAATCCTCTACAATTTGCAATTTTAAACATTTTTCATTGCAAAATATAAAAATAAAAATAATAATATATTAATTGTAGCCATAGTAAAATCATCTTTAACCGATGTTACCTGTCTCAAGGAATGTTTACAACAATAGTAAGATGTGTCCATGCAAGCACAAAACGTTATATTTCACTAGTTATCGTATATCAGAAAGTAAAACACGTTAAAAAATTAAAGTATAAATGACACGTATTTCTTTTTGTCAGAACGTTACTAAAAGCTGCGAATTTATATAGAAAAAAATGACCAGTCAATTGGCAATAAGTCCGAGAAACTGATTAATTCTGCTTTGGTCAATTGTCATTTCTACCAGTAAGCTGTATATAGGATTAACAAAGTTATTAATAAAACAGTACTTTATTGCATTCGAAACCTTCTCAATTAACGCAGATATACTAATGGCGTCTATCGGCATACATTCGAAGTATTATCTGCTATTGCTGTCGTATTTAACGCCATTTTCAGCACAAGATAGGATATAGATGACGGCCTTTATAAATATTGAAGGAAGACCCTAAAAACCTCGGGGAAAAATACCGACTCACGAGAAGCTGCTGGCAAGCTTTCTCACATATCCACATTAGTCGAATCCGAATCCGAGACTTCAACCCACGCAGACAGGTGAGATGGCAGTGATCTGTAAAGTTGAGAGCTTTATGCAACTCGGCACCCCCAAGTATTATCTGTAACACTGGCCTTGAAGTTGCGAATAAAAATGTACAGTGTCTCTAGCTAAGTCAGTCACAGGTACATGGAAGATCCAACCTTCTTCGAAATAAAATGCGTCACGCGATTTCGGGCCACAGCTCCGTTGTTTTGGGGGTTTATTTTAAATCCAAAATTTACTATTTTCTGTCGAGTCGAGTTACAAATGTAAACCCAAATTTCATCACTTAAGAAAATCTTATTAAAACGTTTCTAATTAGACTTTTTAAATTTGGCGAGTAGCTGTTTGGCGATTTCAACAGGATTCTGTTACGATCGGCCTTATAATAGTGCCGGATCCATCTAGCACAATTTCAGTCTGTGTCGAGCATTTTCACCAAATGCCTCTTTCACGGTAGCAAAATTGTTCTCCTTCTGATACACTTTTGCATCACCGTCATGTACTTATGTTTTGTCCCATACATATACATGTAACTATAGGCGTTTTGTAGATCATTTCATAGACCATTACATTGTCCACTAACAAGCACTGGATTTACTGGCTTGTTTTAAGAAACAAAATATTCTGAACTTTTCAAATACCTCTCCTAAAAAACAAAAACGTGAAGAAAAATGGCTAAATCAGACAGAAAATATGTCAATGCGCATGGTTAGTAGTTCGAGGTGATGCACTTATGTACTGTTTACTAATGCCGTGCTTTGTTGAAAGCACACTAATGTTAAGAAATTTTATAGAAACCTCGTGTATAAAACTTTAAAAATTTTGAATAATAAACCAAGCTGTCATTTTAAGCAAATGAGACTAACACGACTGGAACATCTACTATATCAACATATGCACATTAGACAACAGTTATATTATCCAAACGTTTCAGCTGAATGAAGCTGCTTAAGATATGTGCACGTGCTGGTTATGCAGGTTATATAGGCAGACAAACATTAAACTCCTAGAATATCATTTATATCCTTCTACCTACAGTGGTTTTATCAAGGAGTTTCACTCGAATGCAGTTTCTAATACGGAAGATACATTGTTGATGCCAACGCCGACGGAAAAGGTGATCACTTTATCCCAAAATACTCGTGCAGGCGAGACAAATATATATGTTAATATTCATCAAGTTTCCGTGTGGTATGAATGTACATAATTTAATCTTCTGATTCATATATACTTTTATTAAGATTTGAACGTACAATTTACATGCTACACTTAAATCACCGTGCAATACGACCGCAATGCCACAGTATAACGACGTATGGAATCAGTACACAATTAATAAAATCCGGTTCAACGAATGTAGTCCCAGTCTATTTTTATATCACTTTTTCCGGTCTAAATTTGGTGGTGATACTAGAGTTAGATTTTGGCATTCTTGGTAAGGATTTAAAGGCAATTGATTATTCTTTAAAATGTGATCTTATGGTGTGGTTGTCTATGTGTATTTCGGCGACAGTGCACATTGAGTAATAAGGTCATGATGATGATCCGGAAGTGAAATCTGTGTTCCGTTGTCTGGTGTTTTGTTTACAATTCAGCCTCTCAAAAAAATGCAGGTCAACCCTTGACAAGAACTAAACCGTAAAGTCATCTTTGAAGGTATTTTAGATTAACATATGATTTGTATTGATTGTCACACTGTGGAAAGTTCAGTACTGAGGAACAAATGTAGAGACCATATAGTAAAATTAATTGTGTACTATGGCCGTATGGGCGCCTAACGAAATACACGAGAACACATGGCATTCTATTAGAAACTTTTGATCAATCAGTAGTTTTATTCTATTAAGCTAATGTTTTGGAACAGTTATACGACGGACTGGTTAGCGACGTTAGATGTGAGACTGTCCGTTTTTTTTTTTGTATTTTTTTTTTTTTAAAAAACTCACCCCAGTATAATATTGCCAAGCTTGCGGATCAAGAAAGTGAAACTAAATGATTAAAATATGACTCAAAACGTCTTGATGAAATTGTCAACTATACCATATAATAATGACTTCAATGTTTGCGACAAAGTCATATGACAATATAAGTAATAAAGAAAAAGTGAAGACAAGCTTTATAAATTTTTAAAAACAATTATTTTCCAGGAAAACATTAAAAAATGTAAATATGTTAAAACAAGGTTAACAGAAAATCCAGAATTTACACCGTAAAACAGTTTGTATTGTTCCGTTACAATTAATGTAAATATGTAAAAAAAAACAACGCCAACAGAAAAACCGCTCGACTACTGTATAGTAGAGGTATGTCGGACAGATAATATACTACATCCGAGTTTGAGTGTTGGTTGACCCTGTTCGATTAATATTTGGTGTTGAACCTTCTCGATTATGTCAGCGACATTCCAGACGACAAAACCATAATCTAACACGGATGTGACTAGTGCTAAAAAGGCAGTTTGTCCTCATGTCTGTGGACAGTGTCTGGGTTATTATTTAGAAATGTCAGAGTAGTGTTTGCTTTATTGAAAGTATTCCAATACTTTGGAACTTAGGACGAGAATACAAAAGTTGGGATGAGTGAGTCTAAAAAAAGAAAGTTTGAAAATATACAGAACTCCAAAAATGTTTTAAAAAATGTGGATGCCGCTGCGAGTTTCGAACATGTGTCTCTTCTTTGGCAAGATGGACGAACAGAAAGAAAGACAAAAGTGGGAGTTTTTATATAATATATTTTGAACAAGCTATTACGTGAGGACCGTCACGCACTATGATTTTGAACCAGTTTATAAAGTATATGCTTGAAACAAACGTGACAACCTAGACTTCTGTTACGAGCATTTCAACAAACAACATAGCAGTTTGATCGTCACGCATTATGACTCCATATACACATATACACTTATTTATGTATGGATGTCGTACTGAAACAGAATGATAAATGAGCGGTTTCACCCCCCCCCATATCTCTCTCTCTCTCTCTCTCTCTCTCTCTCTCTCTCTCTCTCTCTCTCTCTCTCTCTCTCTCTCTCTCTCTCTCTCTCTCTCTCTCTCTCTCTCTCTCTCTCTCTCCTTACCCTGTTCACAGTTCCTTATTTATATCTTCGGCATCCTTTTCAAGCAAAGATATTTTCCAAATAACGAATCACTACATCGACATGTTTTAACAAATATATCAAGAACCCCGGAGATCGTGTTACCTATTTAAAAATAGAGCACAACGAAAACCGGTTGACCAGGGCAATTTCTAAGTATCGTCTGTTTAGTTCTATTAATAAACCAATGCCTCGACTTGATTCATTCAGATGTCAGGTGTGCAAGCTTACTCACCAGGACTAACAAGTATATTGCGTCGTTACCTTGACCCTCCAGACACGATATTTTATAAGCTTTTATGAATTACTACACTTACCTGTAAGACCATATTACGAAGAACTTATGTCAGATGAAATGTATGAAAATCTTCAGAATTAATAATATACCATATGCACCCGCTATATTTTATTGTTACATAAACAATAGGTTTAGGTTCTTTGTTCGTTTACAGGAATTTTTAAAGAATAATTAGGAATACGAGTAGGCGCTATTAATTTTATTCTCAACATACAATATATTGAGATTTGTATGTATTTTAATACCTTGGAGACTAAATCAACATTCTGAGAAAGTGTTCTATACATTGATTATTCGTGGAAATGTATGACTTAGCTTTTCTTTCTTTCTCTATTTCTTTCTTTTATTTCTTTCAGACAGAACACTCCGGTGGCCTAGTGGTAAGAGCGTCCGCTTTAGATGCGGGAGGTCGTGCGGTTCAAACCCAGGCCGAGTCATACCAAAGACTTATAAAAATGGTACTAACAGCTGCCTCGCTTGGCGCTCAGCATTAAGAAATTGGTGTTAGGACTGGTTGACCTGTTGTCAGGATAATGTGACTGGGTAGAACTTTATGCTACATGTCTGTAACATGGTGCCCCAGTGCTAGACATCACTATAAACTGCAACACTGCAGATATCGTAGTTGATATGATTGAAAATTTTTTAAAGCTACGTTAAAAATCCAAATCTCTCTCTCTCTCTCTCTCTCTCTCTCTCTCTCTCTCTCTCTCTCTCTCTCTCTCTCTCTCTCTCTCTCTCTCACACACACACACACACACACACACATACACACACACAATGAATCAGGTGAACATACCTGGCATGCTTTTGGCAGACGACACTACTCTACTAAGTTCTACGCTAAATCGATTACAGATACTGGTGAATACAGAGAAGTGGAAATTGAAATATAACCCTAAGAAGAGTAATTGAATTACATTCAGCAGAAAATATGAAGTGTATTCAGCAAATGGAATTACTTTGGGGTTACAGAACATTCCTAGAGCAAAAAAGTAAAATATGCAGGAGTTACTTTTTCACAACCAATGAAAATAAATGATCGTATAGACTATTCAAGCGATAAAGCTAAACGTGTAACCAACTCACTATATTCAATTGGTTTAAATGCAAATAGAATTTATTCTGTAGTTTCTGTAAAAGTATGGGACAGAGTTATATTGCCGTCTGCTCTGTATGGCTCAGAACTCTGGTTTAATATGCCATATCAAGGGATTGAAGCATTGGAGAAAATATAATGATATTTCGCCCGAAAAGTACAAGGTTTTCCTCAATGATCGACTATTGGCTCTACGACATCATGCTTGGGTATGATTTCAATGGAAGCTCGCATAGATAAACAAAAACTCGTATTCCTTGGCCGCAAGTGTAGAACATATGAAAACTTAATTGTTAAAAGGATTTTCTTCTGGACTGTTGGATATTTGATCTTTGACCCCAACATAACTATTATTCTTTTATATATGATATAAGTACTGTACTCAAAAAGTATGATTTAGAAGACAATCTCAACGACTTCATTTTCACTGAAAAATTTCCAGACAAAATATCATGGGAAAACTTAATTGGGACAAGAATACAGGCATTTGAGGAGAGAAAACATGAAATGTGTATCAGAAATCCCTCAGAGGTTTTGCGTAGATTTCTAAAAAATAATCCATGACTAAAAATGCACAATCTAAGGAAAGTTGTTTACACCGACTCAAGAAGAAAAATGGAATATGGGACATTCATTCGTATTGGAGGAATGAAAGCAAGAACTGGACTGCGTCTCCTATGTGACAAAATAAGTCATGACCGTATTTTGCACATTTCGATGAATTGTCCCTTAACCTTCGACGACAGAAACCACTTGATGGAAAGTCTATTTTCGTATATGCCTCCAGTGATATACCGTGATTTCTGTGATTTATGTGATCAGATCGATCATGATATACTGATTATGCTACTTGGTGGTTTAAAGGAGGTCTCAGAACGTTTGGAATATCAGGCATGGATTAATGTGATCAGACTTTCTACCAAGTACTTCATTAAGATAAAGGATACTATATACTCGATTCAATAAGAAACTTACATAGAATATAAGGAATAAAATATTTGTACTGGACTACAGAACAATTGGGATACTATTTTTAATATATTTTTGTGTAGTTCTACTTTCAAATGTTGAAGCATATATTTTCTCTGTAGTTATATTTTTAAAAGCAGAATCATATTGTAATCTAGTTAGAAATTATATTAATATATGTATTAGTTTGCTGCTACAAGTAATTCATAAGGCTTTAAAAGTTACGAATCCACTTTTTGTGATTAAATATATTACATTGCATTTCTATACTTTATCTTAAAATCTTAAGAAAATGGAGGAATAAAAGAATATCTCTCTCTGTCTCTCTCTCTCACACACACACACACACACACACACACACACACACACACGTGCGCATTTTTTAGTATTTTCTAATACCCCCCACATAATCTTTCTTTCAAATTACAATAGTTTTCTTAAATCACCGATTTAATCTCAAATTTATAAGTAAAAGTTTGGTGATTTCAACAGAATGTTGCACAGATGTATACTGAGTTTAAACGCATCATGGCATCTGGGTTGGTGTGTTCATAGAAAACGAAGGGTTGACAGACAGACAAATAGACAAGTATACAAGTAAGAACTAATGATCAAAACGTATAAAATGAGTGTAGATAATGTGTGTATTATTCCTGTCTGACGTAGACCGCTTGTCATCAAGCAAGTAAATTAATCTCTTTGGGCCAATCCGTAACGACTGTAGCGGCTAGTTTTGACTTTTTTCTTTAGTATTCGTCGAGTCAAGTGAATGACCGCATGGCCGGATCAGGTCAAGTGTTGGGGTGGATTTGAGGTGTGCAACATTTCAAAATGGTCCTGACTTTCCTCGACAGAACACCAAAGCAAACGTCTATGTTTATTTACTCAAAGTGTGCATAATACCCAATAAACGTGCGCAAGAATAAAACAATGGTCAAATTTCAAAAGACAAAATGACAGTACATTTGTGAGTGTACTTTTTTAAAACTGAGTTGGGGTTTCTGGATCCCCCTCCCGATTTAGCCAGGTGACCGACGAAAGAACCACGTATTACAATCAAGTATATACATCCCATGGGCTTTATATTTCCACTGCTGTAACTTTTACCCCCACAACAAAGAAAGAAAACACCAAGAAACATATATGCATACAAAAGAGAAACACATCTAATTCTGTAAATCGCTGTAACATGCATTTGGATTATACCGGTATTGTGGGAAGACGCCTGCGCAGATATATATATATATATATATATATATATATATATATATATATATATATATATATATATATATATATATATATATATATATATATATATATATATATATATATATAAATATTTCATATTAAAAAAGTATCATTTCGAGTGCATGCATATATCAATTCATTTTGTAACTTTTATGAAGAATCGTGCATGACAAATTTCAATATGTTGCTTATTATACTAACACGATTGATTACTTTGAAAGTGCGATATTGACACATACATACAGCTGCCGCATTGGTGGTGAGATTGATTTAAACAGAAAGATTAAATTATCATGCATATAAGGAGACATAAATATGTAGCTCTATTCCATTACTAGCTGTTAAATTAGTCTATGTTCCCCCTTTCTTTTTTCCTCCCTCTTTTTAAGTATCATCTTTATGTGCAGATTAATGTATGTATGACCGACAGATGAATAAAAACAGGAATTAATCTGATTGAATGCACTATGTATGTATGTATGTATGTATGTATGTATGTATGTATGTATGTATGTATGTATGTATGTATGTATGTATGTATGTATGTATGTATGTATGTATGTATGTATGTATGTGTGTGTGTGTGTGTGTGTGTGTGTGTGTGTATGTATGTATGTATGTATGTATGTATGTATGTATGTATGTATGTATGTATGTATGTATGTATGTATGTATGTATGTATGTATGTATGTATGGTGGTAACGTTTTATAATGTCCGAATTGGAAAGACGAGGTCGGCGGAGGCGGTACCATACCGGTCATTTGGGACCCGGGTCGTCAGTTAAAATAATAGTGTTTTAACTGACAACGCTGGATACCCATGGGTGGTAAATTCCAATTGTACAACTAGTGCAATTCCACAAAATGATAAATCCATTTTATTGGTGAATCAGTTACTTTCAACAGTATGACTTTTTGTTCTAAACTATGGTATCTACATAAGTTTGTATTGACCTGTCAACCTTTTCAGGATAAACAAATTATCACTTGTGATATCCGATTTATATAATTTGGAATTTTTGCTCAGTTCTCTTGACAGTTCTCATATATTCCGGACTTCTTTCATATAAAATTTGGAACGAATAGTACTATTTCACGCTTCGAGACGAATAATTAATTTGCAATTATAGCAGCATAGCGAATTCTTTCATTTTTGGTGTGGATGCGATATGTTAATAGTGAGAGAATGTAAAATATGGTAAACAAGTTGACTACATCAAGGCAAATATATTCAGACTTAGTTAGTTAAATATTAACAAATTGCTGTTTTGGTCAATACAAAGATACAATTAGTTGAAACAAAGTCTTGATTACACAAAGGAATATAAGAAACAACGTGTTCTATCGCTTTATTATTTGTTCGCTCCATCATAAAAACCCTCATTTAATAAAAACACAAAAGGAAATATATGCCATTAATTTGCTCTCTTTCCTCCTTCTTTTCAACACCACCCCACCCTCCTTTCTATCCAAAACCTTTATTCATCTTCTTGTCCTGATGAAACAAGTAAAATTGATAATCGGTGTAGATGGGGTTCACATTACAAAGAGAAACTAAATATGGCCATATAGAAACAGTGTTTAACGTATACAAAAATATTAAAATAAATAATTTAGTTTACAATTACCAAAAAATTTCATATTTGTAAACCAAAAATTAAAAAAAAAAAACGAAAGCAAAATAAAAGGAAAATCTTTTTTTTTTCTTCACATGTCTAAATTAGTATCGCCAAGTCCTGATAAGATCTCACTGGTGTTTATTACACTTTAAAAAAAAAATAAAACCCATTTTACATTAACTTGCTGCCAATAATAGAGTAAATAATAGGGTTAATAAAAGGAGTTCCAATTTATGGATCAGTGTCAAACAACAAATATAACATACTTTTCAATTAAGCAATAGAGTACTCACAGTTTGGCTTTTCATATGTCATGATTCAAGAAATAAAAAATTCTGCTCATGATGGTTATCACACTTTAAATCATGATTTCGGTGGGATTAGAGGATTTCAAGCTGATAAATTAAGGGGATTATGGGTGTATTGGAACAATCACTGCTCAGATAATAGATGCAGAAACGATTTTTCCGGTTAACAAAGAGCAAATTTAGCTGGCAC